CTTTTCTTTCTTTCTTTCTTTCTTTCTTTCTTTCTTTCTTTCTTTCTTTCTTTCTTTTACTTTAGTAAGATTTATGTTTATGTTTAGTTTAGTTTAGTTTTTAGTTTAGGTTTAGGTTCATGTTTAGTTTAGTTTACTTTAATTTAGTTTAGTTTTGGTTTAGTTTGGTTTCAGTTTTTTGAGATAAGGTCTCCCTATTTAGCTCTGGCTGGCCTGGAGCTGTCTATGTAGACCAGGCTGGGCTCAGACTCACAGAGACCCTCTTGCTTCTGCCTCCTGAGTACTGGGATAAAAGGCTTGTGCAGCCACACACACAAAAATTTCCTCGTTTTATCCAGGCAACTTATGTCCATGGTATGAGTCCAGTACACACACAGGTAATGTTGAAACTAAGGAGATGAGAAATGAATTACAGATCAGCTTCACAAAGTTGAGCTTTGCTGTTAGAATGAGGAAAGCTGTAGTTTCCATCTACAACCCCAGAATTAAACATTTGCTTGTAAAGGAATTTATTTTTTAAATATTCTATTTATTCATTATTATTTATTTTTATTTTATGTGTATTGGTGTATTGTCCTCATATAAGCACACCTGTGTTGTGCAATACCTGTGGAGATCAGAAGATGGTGTCAGATCCCCTGGAGCTGTTAGCCTCCATGTATGTGCTGAGAACTGAACTTCGGTCTTCTTCAAGAGAAGCTATTGTAGTCTCTTAGCTGCTGAGCCCTCTTTCTAGTCCAAGAGCTGATTTTTTAATGACATTTAATGTTATTGAATTTAGTCATTAACAGGCACATGTGTCTAGTTGCCACTATTTGTTATACAGGGTACATGGAGACTAGAGAAAAAAGAGAAGGGTGAATAAGCTGACAGGCACTAAGAAGCAGGGTGGGGTTGGTGCATTTTAGCCAATGAAAGAGATGAGTTCCCACGTCTGGAACAGCACTGAGGTGCAAGTGCTAGCCTTCCACTCATGCACTGGGATTTGGATGTAGGGAAAATATTTATGTATATTTCTATATTAAAGTTCTTCTGCCATCTGGGTGTGAACTACCATTGCTTCAAACAGTGTGGGAGCAGAGGTGCCCTCCAGTTCACATAGTATAGTAATTAAGAATTGTGAAGCCTGAATTTTATCATCTAAGTCCAAAATTATGTCATGATCTATATTAGCAGATTTATTTTGGTGAAGATTTTCAATTTCTCTATGCTTTTGTTCTTCAACTACTAACCCTGAGCTAATAGTAGGGTTATTTTAAATTTTAAATCGTGTTGAACACTTTTTAAAAGCCTTGAACTTAGTGAAAAGTTTTCAGAAGTTACTGTCATTTACCATAAAATTGGGAAAGTATTTTTATTTGATATTATGTTGCAAACCTAATTTAGAAAACAGCAATATAGACTGACTTTCCTACAAGATTCCCACTGTTCTTACTTACATTCTGCTGCTTCAGAAGCAGTGTGCATACGACATGGCCGTTATTATTTCTGATCATAGAGAAAATCTTACCGCAAGAGTATTTTTACCATTGCTCCTGTTCTTATATGATAGAACTAGCATCTAAACTAATTCTCTTCTGCTTAGCAGCTCAGATGTTTTGTTTCTTTTTCAGCCTTTTAATGTCAGTTTTTACATATGTGTATGCATGAATACATGCGTGTACCTGTACACCATGGCACGTGAGTGCAGGTTGGAGGACAGCTTGCTGGAGTCATTTCTCTCCTTCTACTTTGTGGACCTGAGGATTAAATTCAGGTGGTCAGGCTTGGCAGCAAATGCCTTATGGGATGAGATATGTCTCCATCCTCAAAGTTTTCTTTCTTTAAATATCTTTATGCTTAATCATTCCAAATATTTTTCACGTCAGTTCACTTTTCCAATTTCTTGGGCTTCATATTGGATGTTAATCAGTGACTATGTGGTCTTAACCTTGGTCCAAACAACTCCATTGTATTGTCTTTGATTCCTTTTACTTTTCAAAAGTCAAGAAAGCCCTATCGTTAATGCTTTATTTCTCTACATTTAAAATATTAAAAACCTACTAATTAGATATTTACTTAAAATGCAATCCTACATTTCCTGGAAACCATAGGAATCCAGAAATACAAAGAAGGTGATCTTCTCTTTGTTGTTTATTTTATTAGTTATTCCGGAATTTGTGACACAAGTGAACGTGGCCTTGGAGGCCTTAGGCAAGAACTCACTGAATGTGTTTGATGATAATCAATTTGTGGACATCGCCAAGAAGATCTACGATACAATTCATGATATCAGATGTTCAGTCATGATGATCCGGGTAAGCTTGCTCTACCTTCCCTTGAGTTATTTCAGTGTCTGCCTGGGAACAGTGCAAAAAACATCAGTTTCTGTACTGTAACTTCAGTGCTGAAATCCACCAGAGCTTCAGAAATTCCTACATTTCCTAAAAGCCAAGTCTATTGTCACAGAATGAAGGTTTACTCACGTCTTTGGTTATAATGCATGCAAATGAGAACATGAACCATAGCGTGTGCAGAAGTGGTAAGCCTCACTGTGTGCAGACAGCACATAGCATGATCAAAGAAAATTCCAGAAAGTAATTTGCCTTCTTTTCTTTAACAAGCAGCAGGGATAGTTCTCACTGTACTGCATTTAAAAAAAACAATGCTAAAACAAGGAAGTTCCATGGTCAAACTCCCTCATTCTAGACCGTGGAATCGCATACTTTTCTGAAATATATTTTACTTAGGGCTGCTAGGTACAACAAACCCTCTAAACTTCCCGATCTTGGAGTCCTCTATTTAAGCAAAGATATCACTTTCCCAGGGGTGTGACTTCCCCATTAGTTGTGGTTATACTACATAAACAGAGACCAAATTCATTTGTTTTAACTCAAATGTAAAAGTATGTTTTTAAAACGTTGCTAAAGAAACAAAGTAAGTTCTTCATAAAATGCATATATAAAGAAAAGGAAACAAACCTTATCTTAGGACAGTTCGACTAGAGACAGACTGAGGTATACATTTCTGTTTCCAGTAGTGTGGGAACAAGCTAGACTAAGAAAGTGAGGTCTCAGTGAGAGGGAAACAGTGTAATGTTATTATGAAGCACTGTGGACTTTTATTCTACTGGTGAGCTCTTGAATTATCTCACCCAGGGTGAATAAAATATGAAAATTTAGCTGCCTATTCATCCTTGGTTAAATGCTACCGTGCACACTGTTATGCCCAGGTCTTGTGCTCAGAGCCATCAAGCTCTTGTGGTCAAGGAAACAAACCCTTAGACAAGATGGCAGATGACTGCAGTAAGGATTCAAAAAACAGGTGAGGTTTGTAGATATGAATAGAGTTCTCTTTGAAAGCCTTAGGATTTAGCAGCTATCCAGGTCAGAAGATAACAGTAGAAAAGAATATATAAGTAATATACCATGATTCCTAGACATCACACTGTGTGGTCTACAATATGAGGCCATCTATCAGCATCACAAAGAACCATCAGACGTTTTGGACCCTATCAGAAATGTCTGAACCATTATGGGTTAAAGACTAAAAGTGTCAACACAGAGCATGTGGGTGTTGAGAAAACCTGAAAATAAACCCAATTACAAATATCAGATAGAAACCCAGGATGGAGATACACATATAGTTTTCTGCTAACAATGGCTAGATTTATGATATTTTTTTCTTTGCTTTTGCAATGAAATACATTCAGGAAGAAATCTCTTGTAATTTTGACCATTTCCTGAGCTAGTGACATGCAATATGACATTCTCTTAGAATACTGGGCAGCCAACACTCCAGTTAATCACTCAACCCTGAGGGTAAGAAGCTGTTCTCTAAGGTACACTGTGTAGCTGATCCCTGAGGTACGAGAGATCACTGTATTAAATGCGGCTTTTAGTTCTATGACATTTTCTGCTTAATGATGGCTCTTTGGGGAGCCAGAATGAGGGCCTCCTGTACTGATCAGCAGCCTACAAGTACTTGTTTGTATGATTGGAAGTGAATTGCTCTAGCATCACTTTGTCCAAACCAATCAATCCAAATATTTCTTTGTTCTTCAAGAAGAACTTATCCCCTACTTGTCTGTAATAACAAAAAGCAGGGAGGCTAGATGGGTCCAGGACTGAAATGCTGAAAATGTGACAACCTACAAACTTTACCACAGTGAAACATGACCCTTAACCACCTCTATATGAATGTTTGGGAAGACAAGCATATGAATAACATAGACACGACAGTAGAGGACACACATTTTTTGTGGTAAATCTTCCCAGTGATTAAAATAATGAATAAACGTTATAACCTCTTGTAGTAGATGTTCCAGTATTTAAGTTTTTCTTTATTATCAAGATCATTTTCATATAGAAAATCAAATTATCTTGCTGTTATTTCTATATATTCTTCCCATCCAGTGGTCCTCTGTGGGGGAAGGAGAACATTTTTTTTTGTAAATATGATAGCCTTAGAGGGCAGAAATGATTCTCTATAGTTATTTCTTTTTCAAGGTTAGTAATTTCGTCTCATGTTAGTTTTTCTCCTGAGTATTCAAGTATTTTGTGTTCTTCTCTGCTGCTTTTTTAATATCAACACACTTTGCAATGAGATTATCAGAAATATATTCCAATTAGAATCTGTCCAGTGTCAAATGAAGTAGAGTTGTTCATAGTCATTATTCCAACCGCTCCTTAATTTCTGCTGGCTTATGTTTCCAAGATGGAGTATGTTTAAGAATCAGGGGGAGGCTTGGAGAGATGGCTCAGCAGTTAAGAACACTGGTTGTTCTTGCAGAAGACCCGGGTTCAAATCGTAGTACCCACATGGCAACTAACAACTGTCCGTAACTCCAGTCCCAGGGATTACAGGATTAAAAACAACTTACTCTTATTTTTATCGTTTTATCCTGATGTTGTCTATGTATTTACTTTCCACTTAAAAAATGATAATTCCTTGGGAGGCAGAGACAGGCGGATCTCTGTGAGTTCAAGGCCAGCCTGGTCTACATAGTGAGTTCCAGGACAGCTGGAGCTACAGCGAGACCCTGTCTCAGAAAGACAAAAAAAAATAGATAATTACACTTGTCCTAATTTCTAATTCTATTAAACTTCTTTCTGTTTCTAAATGGCTATTCATTTCATTTCTCTGCTTTACAGTTTAGTTATTTACTATACCAACTTCCGTCATGTAGATTATTAGTAAAAATATCAGAATGTTGATCTGCTTCTCTTAAGACTCCAACCCACCATTATCAGCTTCCTTGTACACATCCAACTGTATAAAATATTTCAATATTAAAATTGTCATTTCTCCCAAGTTCTTTGAGCTCTAGACCCTCCTGAAGAAGTTCTGGTGTCCCTTGCCATTCCTTCTCGCTAGGCTTTCTGACTCCTCTCCCTCTGCACCCTTCCTACCCTGAGGACTTTCATTCCCTTGGTCTCTAATGTTTATACTCTTTCTTTAGCCAATGAAACATTTTTTTTGTTTCTATACTTCCAAATTTTATATTCTTATCCCAGTGCTTTGACAATATAATTCCTATCTCCTAAGTCCTACCCTATTCCAAAGTCTGTAAGGATTTTTTTTTATACAGTCCTTCAGTATTTGGATCATTTGATCAATTGGTAAAATTAAGTTTAGCCTAGTCTTTAATTATCATGTATTTTGTAACTCAGTTTCTGGGATTTAACAGATGTTGGAATCCATCAGCTTTATTATTTTGTCTTCAGCTTATATTATGTAGTCATATTTCAAAGAGTATCGAGATTGCAAACGAGTTTTCATAAGATGTTTAAAGTATGTCCCATGAATCAGGAAGAATACACACTCACACCAATGGGGTGATCTTGAATTACATTAGCCCTTTTCCTTTTAGACATGTCCAGTTAGTACTGTCATATTTCATGCACACCGTTGTTTCTGGGCCTGCAGGTACTTCTTGAGTGTGACTTAAATCACCGCTCCTCACTGTGTTCCTTTCCACAGTGCTGGCACTACCAACGTCAGTTCCCTGTCAAGTCAGGTTTCCCAAACCCAGGGAAAGCGTTTTCTCTGTAGGCATAAGTCCTTCTAACACGAGCTTTCTCTGGTTTCTCAAATCCTTTGTTGACTGTGGAGAATCCATTCAAGCAGCATGTCAAATTTATTAAGCATACAGAGACTTAAGGCCTTTTTATTTCTCACTGTGAAGCAGACTTCCTGAAGCCATGCTAGTCACCTGCTCTCCCTTCTCAGGGGAGTCTGGCTAGGGAATCCCAGTAAAAACACTGCCCTTTGCCCAGGTGTCATGACTCTTTCACAATGGCAGGACCAGTTTATAGAGAAACCAGCTAGCAGGGGACCTCCTAAGGAAGCTTAATAAAAGACGTGTAAAAAAGTAATTTTAGCTTTATATGTAAATTTGAGTCAGGACTTAGAGGGAAGAGTTCTGTAGTGGGACTCTTGCTGTTACTGCTAAAAACAGTATAAAATAAAAATACACAGAAGCCCCTGCTGGCACTGCTCACCAAGAACTGAGGTCTCATGCTCCAAGCACACTTAATTGACCTCCTTGTGTGTACTTCCTTTGAAGTGACTTCTGACGATCGAAAACAGTGATGGTAGAGCAAGAAATAATTTTCACTGGGAAACACATTCGTTAGGTTTGTGCAGTGCTGGTTAGTGATTATAGCTGCTCATACTGGGAGAAAAAAGTTCACCTGAAGTCTTTCTGGGAATTGGTCTCACTCCAGTGTGTCAAAGCCGCTGAACTAGTAGGGGAGTCTGTGGTCAGAAGGACTTTGATGTTGATGAGTCCTGAACTCATAGTTCTATACAAGCACAATTCAGAAACTGGACTCTACATTGTTGAATCTAAGAAACACAGTGTGTTCAAGGTAAATGGCTATGTGAACAGAAGATGCTTAATGATTGACTCTTCATGGATTGTGTGTGTATGTGTGTATGTGTGTATGTGTATGTATGTGTGTATGTATTTGTGTGTATGTGTGTCTATGTGTGTATGTGTATGTGTGTGTATGTGTACATGTGTGTATGTGTGTATGTGTGTCTATATGTGTATGTGTGTGTATGTGTGTGTATGTGTAGGTATGTGTGTGTATGTGTGTGTATGTGTAGGTATGTGTGTGTATGTGTGTGTATGTGTAGGTATGTGTGTGTATGTGTGTGTATGTGTAGGTATGTGTGTGTATGTGTGTGTATGTGTAGGTATGTGTGTGTATGTGTGTGTATGTGTAGGTATGTGTGTGTATGTGTGTGTATGTGTAGGTATGTGTGTGTATGTGTGTGTATGTGTAGGTATGTGTGTGTATGTGTGTGTATG